CCTCTGTAATCATATATTGTTTTACCTTATAATTTTTTCCTTTATCTTTCTGTGTTATCCTAAAATTTTGGGGTGGATTAATTATAATTCTATATTTTCCCTTAAGATTTTTATCTAAGAGAGCATTTCTTATTTGTATATTATATTCGAGATTTTCCAATCTTTTGTGTACATCTTCAAAACTTTCGTCTATACTATTTTTAGATAAAGAAGGATAACTTGATTTTTTATATTTTTCAACATTTTTCAAAAATTCTTCAATTATATTTTATTCGTCAATTATATTCATCATTATTTTAGATTCGTAACCTGACTCTGATACCATTTTCGGAGTGAGCGTGCGGAATTATGACCTATTTATTAGTAGGCGTTTAAGAGATTTTTGAAATCTTTAAACATTCTTAGTATTTTCTAAATATTTTATATGGCAGATGTTTGAAGGAGAAGATGATGTGGTAGAGAAAAAATAGATATTGAAAAACTTTCAATACATAACAATGTTATCTAACAAGTACAAATTTAGTTTGAGAAAAATTTATAACTCAGGTATTAACTATGGGCCAATTCAATTTTCGAGTTTAAAATTTCAAAATTCAAAACTTAGGTGATAAATAAATAATTAAATATATTTTATTAATTAAATATATTAATGTTACAATTATATAATTAATGGTCACAAATACGCACTTATAGGTCACAACTTATTTATGTATCACAATATAAAATTAATTGATCACATATTATTTCACGGTCACAAATCAAAAATTTATATATCATAGTTTAATCGTCGATCACAAATTTTCAAATTAGTTGGTTACAAATTATTTTTCAGTCACAAATTAACCAAATAGTTGGACATATACACCAAACACCCCACCCCCACCTCTGATCCCGATCTACCACCAATAGTTAATCACAAATCAATCAAATAGTTGATCACAAACACCTAAATAGTTTGTCACAAACACTCTTCATCCCAACCCGCAACCACCATCGCTGCCACCAACATCAACGACACAACAACGACAACACACACTAACATCGTTACTGCCAACAAAACCACCTTACCACCAAAACATGAAAAACCACCACCACTTCAAAAATAAAAAAATCCAATAAAAACCACCACCACAGCACCACTGTTATAGATCACACACTACTCCCAAAACCACCACCACGTCACCACCGTCACAGATCATGCGTAGCGCTGCCCTAGATCTAGTCGAGCAGCGACAATGGACGGATGAACAGTAGATTCGGAATCGTCACCTTGCACCAAATCGCAACATACCAATAAACTAGATAGCGATATACCAACCAAACTAGGACATCATCCATTGTTGAATCTACGTTGTCGCGCAACAACCTCGTCTGAGGCTATAGTTCAGGGGTAGCGGTGAATTTTTCCATCATCGCTGCTGCGCACGATGGCTCTATGGACGTACCTCGTAGGTTGGCCCTATGAGAGAAGATTGAGACAAAGAGAGAAATTTTAGTGCGAAGTGACAATTTTCCCAACATTGCCGCTACCCTCGACAGCTATATGAGCTTGTCTTCAAATGCTGCCTATGCGAGGAGTGAAGGGAGAGAAAGGGGATTGGAAATATTTTAAGTTTTGATTGTGTACATGCGGATATATTTTCTTATTCCCTTTTTTTTTCTATATTTTGAATTTGATGGCCTTTTTATTCTAAATTTCTTTATTTTCTCATTTATTATTTTAGTGAGAATTAATACACCATAGCAATATTTAATCGACTTAACTATTTATAACAATCAGATCGGGTTATTATTGGATCGAATTGACCTATATCCATATTTGCTCCATTTAGTTAATAGATTATTGGATTCAGATCTTGATCGTGTTATTGGATTGAGACCTTAAATCCATCTCTTATTAATTCCATCGAATTTAGATCAAATTGGAATCAAAATTCAATCAATTGACAACCCTAGTTTTAACGCATTGTACATATTTCTACTTAGGTGTTTATTTTATTTTCCTAAAATAATAACCGATTCACATTTAAATTTGTCTATAAAATATTAATTTTGCTGAATTAATATGTCAAACGAAACTCTAGAAAATATCTATTTTCTCTCTACAAGTTCCCATCAACTTAAACTGGTAATTGAACACGTTTTATTTTTGTGTGTTTGGAACACATTCTTTTGAAAGAATGTATTATTGAATAGTAGATTGATGGAGAATGTGTGGTTAAAAATGAAGGAAAAGTTATTGATGTGATGAAAAATATTATTTTATTGAAGAATGTGTGGTTGAAAATGAGAATAAAAGAAAGAATGTATTTTGGAATAGTAAATTGATGGAGAATATGTGGTTGAAAAAGAAGGAAAAGTTATTGATGTGATGGAAAATATTATTTTATTGAAAAATATGTGGTTGAAAATGAGTAAAAAAATGAGAATGAAAAAAATAATGTGTACCAAACAGGACCAAAGTCTAACTTTAATTATACTATAGTTTTTAGAGCAATCTATGATTACAGTAGCCTACGTGTGCACACTAGACGGAAAGGCTCCAATAAACACAAAACGGAGCAGCAAAGGGTGACAAAGGAAAGGCGTCCTTATCCTTCCGGCGTATATGGCGGCGGAGGATGACGAAGGCGACACATTCAGAGACTTTAAATTCCCATCCTTCCCTCCCAATCCTCCTCCTACCACCACCTTCCATTCTCATCATTTACCCCCATCCAATGCCATTAATTCGTCCACCGACGATGACAAATGGGGCGATTTCGTCGAATTCCCGCAGCAACTCTCCTCCACCCAATCAGAACCCTCCAAATCTCAATCAGCCGATTCCAAAATGATGATACCGACTCGGTGGGTGAAGCCGAGTGGCGCATTGCCACTTGCGTTATTTGGGGATGCCGAGGAGGAAGAGCATGAGGATGGGGGTGGGGTTGATCTCAATTCCAGTTTTGATAGTAATGATACTAGGAATGGATCGGATTACAAATGTGTTGGTAATACTAATACTTTTGGGGTTAATGACATTATTGCTAATCTGTATAATCAGACTCGGAAGATCAAATTTGAAAATGGATCTGGAACGAATTCCAGCCCCAGTGTTGATTCCAATGCTAATGATTTGATTTTGGATGATAAGAGTGCGGAAGTGAGGGTTGAAAATGGATTTTATTCCTGCTCGAAATTGAATGCTGTAAGTTTGGGATTTAGTGAGTGGAACCTAGATTTTAACGGGATGAATTTGAATTCTAATGTCAATGGTACTAAAAACTTGAGTGATAAGAGTACTGAAAATGGATCTGGTACGAATTCCAACACCAGGGTTGATTCGAATGCAAATGATTTGGTTTTGGATAGTAAGAGTAGGGAGGTGAAGGTTGAAAATGGATTTTCTTATAGCTCAAATTTGAATGCTGCAAGTTCCTTATTTAGTGATTGGAATATGGATTTTAATGGGATGAATTCTATTGTCGATGGTACAAAAAGTTTAAGTGTTCACAGCCAGCAGATAAAGAGTGAGAACTTTGGGTTAAGTATTAAATCGAATGGATCGGATGCATATCAAGATGGCTCAAGCTCGCATCTTTTGGGTGGATGGACTTTGGAATTAAATAAGTTGACTTCAAATTTCGATAAGAATGGTAGAGAAAAGGAATTGGATGGAACCACACGTGATGATGACAAGGATGATGACGTAGATGAAGGATGGGAATTTAAGGATGCGTATTCAGAATGGAGGCCTGGAGATGTGAATAATATGGTAAGGACTAAGGACCATGGTGACAATTTTCTTGATAATTGCAACTGCTGTGTGATAGTGTTTTTTAAGCTTTTTCTTTGGCGTTTATATTAGGAACTTTTTGGCCAAGATTTCAAATGCAATGGATCGTTGGCCAAGAATTGCACAGGGTTATTGCTTATGGTCCCCGGATTTTAAATTCTTTAAATATACTGTCACACTTTGGAGTTCTGAGAAGATGAACAACTTCTTACTTGGGTTGCAAACAGCATTTACTTGTAATATATGATTTGGAATGGAATTATGTGTTGCGTCTTAATAAATTGATTACTTGATTGTGTCATGAAGAAATATGTGCATATGCGAAATTAGTTTTCCACCTTGAATACATCTGATGCATTTAATTTATGTTGTGAAGGTTGACTCCAACGTGCATGACTTTTCTGGGAAAAGTGCATACTCATCTGGGATTGGTAGTGGCTCAATTGATTTGTTTGACGCCGCAAATCAATCTATTGATTTGTTTTCCGCTTCAACTGAAGTTGATTTGTTTTCCACCTCCAGTGGTTTTCCTAGTAGTTCCCAGGAAGTGAACTTATTTGAGGTCCAGCCAAGTATAGCAGCTCCAATCAGTTTTGTTTCAGATACAAACTCAAACATTGAATGTACTGATATTAAAGATGGGTTGAACCCTAGTTTGGATGTTGGATATGCTGAATCTGATGATGGTTTTGGGGAATTTACCAATGCATTCTCTGAAAGTGAACCAAAGCCAAGGGTAATTTTATCTGCCCACCTTTGTTTATTTAGATTCTTATGGCATTGCAGGATTGTGCATGATAAATTTGCCTGCTTGTTTCAGGAAGCATTGGATGATATTCTTTCTCTATCTAAAGAAGCAGTATCGATGCTGGATGGCAAAGTACAGGTGTGTAATTAACTATTTCAATTTATAATTGCATATAACTGGAGTTTGTAGATCCCAATATTGTTCACGTAATATCTCGTAACTTATAATATTGATATAATCCTCCTGCAACTCTATTTAACCTTTTTGTGGTGGATGGTGGGCAAGGTAGTTTTTATCAATTTTTAGTCCACTTCTATTCTGTAGTCCAGTATAGGAAATTTTGCTAGATACACATGCAATATATGTCATTGTGCTCCATGTTTAGTTGTACAATATGAAGCTTTATGTTGGTTTTCCGTTTCGCTCTATTAAGCCGCTGTTTGGTTTGGATAAAAATTAGGTTTTAAGTATATTTTTATAGAATTTGGTGCAATGTGTGGTTGAAAAGTTGATAGATGTTCTGGATTCCTTAAAATGTATGTTTGAAAATGAGTTTGAGTAAAAATGATTTTTAAGAAATGGGGGCCAAATATCGGCTAATAGTCTATCGTGTTTTTTGCTGCATGTTTATTGCCTTCAAGATTATCGGTTCCGCATGCTTCCATGCTTCGTTTTGATGTAATCCTCCTGCACCTCAATTTAACCTTTTTTTTTTGTGGTGGACGGTTTAGGCAAGGACCCTTGCTATTGCTTTTATCAATTTAGTCTACTTCTATTACGTAGTACAGTATAGGAAATTTTGCTAGATCCACATGCAATGTATGTTGTGGTGCTCGTTGTTTAGTTATATGAAATTAAATCTATCTGTTAGTTTTCTCTTTGCTCTATTAATAATCTATCGTGTTTTTTGTTGAATGTTCATTTTAAAGAATATTGATTCTGCATACTTCCAAGTTCTGCTTTTCTGGCTCCTATACTTAGCCCTTTAAACTTTAAGGACACATCTATTTAAACTTTGAACCATTGTATCTTTTCCTCTTCATTCTTATCAGCATATTCATCCAACTGTGTACACTAAAAATGATAATTTTGTGTTGGTGAATATCTTCTTCCCATGAGAGAAACAGAAAATGGTCCTCTTATGCTTGTGCTCTAATGTTAGAAGACTTTAGGTGGAAAATTTTTAGAATGAAATTCTGAGTCCTAGAATTAGCTAAACTTGGTTAAAATGAGATTGTAAAACCTTCTCCGTTTTGTTTTAGCGAATGCCTGAATATTATAGTCCATTTGGCTAAATTTATAAATGGACAAACTTCATTTTCAACTACACATTCCAATTGACTAACAAGTAATATCCACCCCTCATTTCTATTATTTTATAAATTAAACCGTTTATAAATTTTTCACAAATGGAGGCTATCTCTTTTGTGGAATGTGTATCAAAATACTAAGAAGGGCTACTGGAGTTACTCTTTTGGTTTTCTTGCATTTAAGAGAGATGAATATTTATTACGTACAGAAGTCCAGTTCACTTGTTATCCTAGTAGAGTTCGGGAAGAGAGAGTGAAAATATCGTGGGTACCCAAGATGACTTTTGAATATCCAGAATTGTGATGCATTTGCTTTATTCTAGGCTATGATGACTGTGATCTATGAAGGACAAACAATTATAGAGATGTATGTTAGATTGCAAGAGCGCTATTGGAGTTAGGGGTAAGATAACTCTTAAATTTACTGATCAGAGTAAGATGGATGATGCTAAGCAATTTATTCAGATTGGGGCATACGCTGAATCGAGCATGAAAATTTGCAGATACTCTGAGAGCACAACTGGCCATTCAGTGAGAAGGCTTTATTTAGATGATATTAGGTTTTGCGAACTCCATTCTTTAATAGGGAAAATAAGGGTTTCGACTTCTCTTTGTACATGCCTTATGGATTGTTGTGCTCGTAATGAGCTGGACTAGAGGTTATTAACATTAGGCTAGGACTCTTCAAATTATTTGGGAGGTCTTCTACCTCTTGCAAATTTGACAGGTTCTGGAATGCTAATCAGAATAAATATCAGAGTCCTGAATTTCTGCTTTTTTGTTTCGTGATACACTTTGCAATCTAATATTTACTGTAATATTTGGTCCTTCATTTCTTTGTCTGTACATGTATCTGTAAACTTGGTTTAGTCTTTTTATTCATAAACTGTGCATTTGGTTTTACATACTCCACAAGTCCACATTGTTCGAAAACAAAAATTTATCTTGTGCTACCAGGAAAAGTGATTGCGTCACATACCTAAAGTTAATTCTGAGTTTACTTATTTTGGTAGCGAAATTTTCTTTAATTTCCTTCATATAATTGATCTTCACTTTTTCAGGGGAAGGAGACTAAGTTAAATAATCATGAAGGTGCACTGCACCTATCCATCTTCGGCGATGAAGAGCCAGAAACTAATGGTCACGTGGATGTTCAAGATGCTTTTATGCATCAGCCCACTTCTTATCAAAGAAATAGTCATGCTTCCAACTCAGTTATTCCTATTAATGATCTTTTATCAAATTTATACAGCCAAGCCGAGCAGGCTTCTTCTGTAGACACCATGCAAAAACCAATTGAAATCAAGTTGAGCCCATCTGATGCAGTGTCGAAGTCAGACAGAGTGCATAATGATGATGGTGGTTTTGATGATAATACATGGGAATTTACGGATAACTTCTCTAAAAAGAGAAACAACGATGAGGCCTCTCTTTTTAGTGTTGAAGATGAACATTTGGTCAGCTCTTCCAAGCTGGAGTTGAATAATTTTGTGGATTTCTATTCTAGATTAAAGGATGAGTTGTGCTTCATTGCTAAAGTTCATATAGAAAGCCTAAAGGTTTGTTCTAGAAAGAAACAACTTTCTTATATTTTATTTATTTTTAGTCTGTCTGAATAACTGCTGAATTGTTACAATCCTTTTTTTTTTGGTCAGAATGCTCGAAGTACTGCTGCTCTTTCTAGCAAATTTGCAGAAGTGGCAGCTCTTGATAATGAAATTCTGGTTCGTCATCCATTTACTTGTCTGTTTTGGTACATGCTTCCAGGAATGTTCTTAAGTTTCTTAAGACCTAGCTTTTGTTCTATTAATTTTTTCAGAAGGATATTTGAACTTCTACAAATGTGAAGCTCACTGTACTTTTCTTACTTTTGCTGTTCTGGATTATTATTGAATGTGAGCATTTAAGATATAAACTATGTGTCAGGAGGCACTAAGAAAATTTTAAGGTCCTAACCTTTTTACTAACAAAAGATGCTAACATTTCCTATAGTTTAGAGTCTAAATTGCTCAGACTTGGGTACGGGTATCGGATACGGGTACGGGTACGTATCTAAGTGTCGGATCCTTTATTTTGTAAAATGTGGGATACGGCGACATGACTAATAAGAGTCCAAATTTCGAACACGGGTACGTGGGTACGTCTTTCAAAGTTCAATTTTATTTTTTAAATTTTATTTTTACTTTGATATTACAGTATTTTTCGAATTAAAAATGATGAATTGAAAAAAAAATTAAAAAAAATGATTAAATGTATTATTTGAATATTTTATTAAACTAAAAAATGTGTGGTGTAAAAACAATTTCATTATTAGTCCATTCATATTCATATTAAAAATAGCCCAAACTCCAATTAAACTCATCCATATTAATATTATGAAGCCCACCCATATCCTGCCCAATAAAAATGGCCCACCTCCAATTAAACCCAAACCTCTTCTCTCCTTCCCAATCGTCGTCATCATCTTCTTCTTCTTCTTCTTCTTCTTCTTCTGTTCTTTACGATTTTGGGACCGCCGGTGCCGATCTACTGTTTCTTCACCAAGTACCGACGATGCCAACTTGCCATTTCTTTACAGACACCTTCCATCTCCAACAAGACCGTCGCTAAGGTAAATCTACAAATTTTCCAAAAACTTCTTGCCGGGTCAGATTGAAAGTTGAAGAATCGGACCCGTATTCCATACTGGTACCCGTGTCGTGTTGTGTCAACACGGGTATTCCGACCGAAATGGAGAGTCCGAGCAACATAGGTTTAGACTGCATTCAGATATGGGACATGCTTGTTGACCATGAAATAATTTATGGTTCAAAATCAAGTTTTGATTGGATTAAATGCAAAATACAGTTTGATGGGACTTTGTGGACAAAATTAAGTTATTCTGCATAATGTACATTTTCTGTTCTTCTTTAGTCCCCGAAAAAGGCTAAGATTTCCTTAGTTAAAACTTAAACACTATTCAGATCTGGGACATTTTCGTTGACAATCAGATAAGTTTATGGTAAAAAATCAATTAAGCACGTTTAATTTAAAGTTCAGTGACATTCTGTGGAACTTTCTTTGTTTCAATCTTAAAATTTCTATATGTTCTTGCTAAAAGAAAATCTAATGCTCCATATAGTTTGGACATATTTCATATCTGCAATGTTATCAAAACCGGACCAGACTAGACCCGCTGGTTCGGCTGGGAAAAACTGGAACTGGTCCGGTTTAGGATCAAAAACCAGAAATTTTGGAATCATGTAAAGAAGCCAAGATCTGGCTGGCTCAACACAAATTTTTGGTTTTTGCTACCAGTTTGACCCTTGACTCTTTAGCTTTTCTAGGTCAATGCCTTGGTCAGTTTTTAAAACATTCCATATCTGGGACAATTTTATTGCTAGTTTAATACATTTGTGATTAAATTTTAATTCTATGTTTAGCGTCTCAAACATTGTCTATTTATTACATTAGTTCAAATCTTTTTCTAAAGATTACCAAGTGAAGTCGCATTGTTAAATTTTTGAGTCAGCAATATGGGATTAATGACAGCTGGAATGAGGAAACACTTGAACTGTTGGGAAATCATATTACTTTGAGAAATATATAGTTCTTTCTACTGCAAAGGAGTGACTTCGTTTTGACAATTTTTTTTAGCCAAATGGACTGGTTTCCAGAGCATAATTTCTTACTAATATGTATTTAACTTTTGAGTTAAATTGTAAGAAGATTTTCATCAAGTACTCCTGTATAGAAACCTCTTTTAACTAAAAAGGCATATTAGTCGATATACAATTTGGCTCCCAAAAATCATCTGTATAATCGTGAAAGTCAAAGCATATATTTCTTCTGTGGTTGGGGCGGGAAGTGTTGGCTCCCAGAGACCATTAAATTTCTTTTCTTTTTCGGTTTCTGAGAGAAGCAATATGTATCCCATATTAAGAAGCTGCCAATACTCCCACTGTTGGGTGTTTAACCAGAGTCTTGGCATAACCCAAATCCCTGTGAGACTAGAAGACTGTGTTGAGAGCTTGACTATATGACCTCTCCTGAAAACTGATAAATTGGTAGTTTTTTTAAATTTAAAATTGCATGCTTAATTTGACTGTAGAATGGATGCTTATTTCTTCCATGCATCACCAAAGTTTCTCTCTATGAAATCAGTCAAGTTATCAGGATTAGCTTCATGGAACTGAGCTTTCTCGCATGCAACCAAAGTATCACCACCTTCTCAGAAGTGTTCATATAACTACCGTTTTATTCTGTAAAAAAAAATTAATAATCAATTAGCTTGTGTGTAATTTGAACAATGCATTTAAGCGTGTAATAAAAGGAATCCCATTTTCTAAAAACTGCTCATGAAAGACATTTCTATACTGCACAGAAGCATATATGTAACTAGAAACAAAATATTTAAGTGACATCCACACTGGTGGACGAGTTTCGGGGCTGTTGCATGCAAGTTTTCATTTATTAGATTTTGTAATATTTTCCAATTTTCTTCTTGATTATTCTTTTTTGGGACAAGTGGGAGTATATTTGTCTAAATTTAGCTGTGCATATTGTAGAAATTGTGCATGAAAGGGATTCAATTTTTGAGTAGTATGTTACTCATCTTGCTTTTCTTTTGTTTCTTTAACTAAGTATTGTGCTTTCTGATTTATACCCAGACTTTAAGGTTTTGACTTTATTTTGGTTAAGTCATATTGATATAGAATCATTTCACATTCTTGAATGGATAAGTTTTTTTTCAATATTTTTAGTCATGTACTCATGTTGTGCTTTTAATGTATCAACTGATGTCTTTGCAATCACTTGTAGGAGGCTTCCAAGGAACTTGATCAAATGAATGTTATATTTAAAGAGGATGATTCACTGGATCACCCTTCAGGAGAAAGTTATCTCAAGGAATTTATTGAAGTTCTTTTTGAGCCAAAGTTTCTAGTACTTGAATCAGAATATCACTTATCAGAAAAATTGCTACTAGTACGTAGTTTGTTCCTTAGTGTCATTTTTTTTTTTTTACCAATAACAAATAGCAACAGACTCTTGCAACTTTTACTGAAGTTATGGATTGTTTCTTGGTCTTCTTTTCTTATCTTATTCTGCACATGTTTTCCGATGTTTAGTCGCTTACTAAGTTTTTTTCTCATTAATAGGTGAAGCGGGATCTGAGATTAGCCATAGAACTTATAAAACATACAACAACTATGATGAAGATATTGAAGTTAGGAACATTGGAGGAACAACAAATGTATGTTACGACATGGTTCGAGATGATTTCTGTTTGCAGTCAAGAGTTGAAGCATGGTTCCTTAATTTGGAAGCAGGCAATTGAGAAGAAAATTCAAAGTCAGATACTGTCTGAACCTCAAGGTACAGCACCATTATTTGTTGTCATGTTAAGGCAACCGTTTGAGTAATACTATATTTTCTGTATCACCAGTTCTACAAGGTTGGATGATATTAGATTATGATTGGCTATGATAACAAGAAGCTTTCTAAGCTTAAAAGGTTCACTTACAAGTATGTTTGCTTAATAATTACAAGAAGCTTTTAAAATAAACCACTTTTTTACTGGTCAAAATTATGAAGACCTACCTAGTAAAAAGGAAATTCACTACTCACTGGTAAAAGAGGAGAGAGAAAGGACCAATTGAAGTACCTGCTGATCCCTGGATGCATTCAGACACTGCAGCGGCTGCCTTGACAAAATTCCATTCATGTATTCCTTCATTCAATCTTGGCTTGATAGGGACAGCACGCTTTTAGGCAAGAGTTATTTTGAAAATAAGTAAATTTCTTTTATTTAGAAGTAAGAAAATAGTAACTCATCCAAACATGTTTGGAAACAAAAAGTTACTAAAACTTTTACCCTTTTTCTATGGTTAGCCAAACATTCTAACTCTGTGTGTTTATTTCTAAATTCTGATTCTTACTTGTGTTCATTATGATGCTAACAGGACGGGAGTTTATATTAGCCGTAGGAGAGATTTACAAGGTTGTGGTGATAATTGGAGCTTCAGCCAAAATTTTCAAGCCTTGGACCATATCCTGTTGGTCAAACATTGATATTCTTCTAGAGGAATGTCATACTCTATGGTCGACTTCAGGATTTGAAGAAGCTCTTTTGAGTGTATCAGAAACATCTTCATCAGATGATGCATCATTGATTAAGTCCATCAAATACATATGTGGTCTTGATGCATTTGCTCTTCAAAACTGTTTTTTCACACAGCATGAATCTTTATGCCGGCTATCAATTTTATCTGCAGGAGCAGTACCAGGTAGGCAAACTTTAATGAAATGACATGGACAAATCAAATCTATTTTAGCTTCTTGATATTGTTTTCCAATGGTATTCGGTTTTAGTATTCAATATTTTATTTTTGTACTTCCTAAACTAGGCATGAAGATGATAATGTGGGAAGATGAGCAATACTTTGTGACACTTGCGAATTTGTGGTCAAATTTGGTAAGCCATAATCCTCCTGAATTGCCACATTTACACATTGGTCCTTGAGGCGAAACAAATAACCACCAAGGTCCTTTCACTCAAAATCACATTTTGCTGATCAAATTGTAGAATTCGATGAAGAACAGCATTGCATTTCATTCATTTATAGAAATGGGGCACTAATTCTGTCTTCTTTTTGTATAGGTTGTATAATAATAGTGGATTTATTTTCATTTGTTGTAAGAGTGTGCAGTATATATGTATACCAGACTACAAGTTTTGGTATGGATTATAGAAAATTATTTATTTTTGTTTTCTAAATGTCGCTGACTGACTTGAAGTTAATATAAAATTTTACCTGGCCACCAAACTTTATCTTGTTTTATTCATATCATTGAACTTTAAACTACACCACTCGGTTAACATTTATGCTAAATGTGTCTTTAACAGTCCATGATTGCTGTGGCGTAACTGGACATTAAAGTAATGTTATAACTGAAACAATTATTAAAGTTTAGTTACATAAATGAAACAATTTAAAGTTTAGTGGTGAGACTTACCCCTTGCACAATTTTTACTCCACCAACAACCCCCGAGCTCTCCAGATAAGGGTGATTTATTCAATTTATTCAACAACAACCTCAAGTTCTATGAGGGTACATGAAAACCTGAATACTCATATTTCAAGATTCTTTCAGATGTACCGAAACTCTCAATTTATAGGGATGCGTGGTGCAATCATAGTCCGATTATTCTCAGTAATGGAGCATTGAAATGGTTGGATTTCGAACCACATGCCAGTGTCACTACCTGGGATGACTCGACAAGGAAATTTTGCAACAAATACTTGTCATCTACAAAAGTGGCAAAAATGAACCTCGAAATATCTCTTTCTAGCAAAAACACATTCTATGTTCTCATCCGATCCGTTAGCTCTGAACAATGTGGCATTTATTCATTAATTTGAGATGACACATTGGCCTCTAATGCTCATATTACTGCTTTAACAAAGCAAGTAGAATTATTGATCAAAGCCCAAGTGCAAGGGGCAAATGTAGTTATTATAAATTCAGATTGCGAAAACTATGGGGTAATTTTTTCTACTAATAATTGTATGTTGTTGACCACTCCTATTGAACAAGTAAACTTTATCTAGAATAATTCACACCCATGGTGTAACTCATATTCACAAACTTACAATTTGGGGCGAAAGTTGTCCCCTCAGGTGGTCTGACAATCAACAAGGTAGTTCCAACAATTCCCAATAGGAAAGTATGCCAAGTTTGGGGCAAATGTTTTAGCAATTCATGCAGAAAATCGACAAGTTGCTCCAGTAGAATGAAACAAACTATCAAAATCAGCAAGTATAAATTAGGGAGTTGAAGACTCAGATTGGTCTCAAAACGTACGTGAGGATCTTTACCGAGCAATATATTGAGTAATCTAAAGAGCAAGTGTATGCTATAACTACAAACGAGAGTGGGGTACGACTACCGAATATTCTTGTGAAAAGGCCAATGAGAAAGGATGAACATGACTTGATTGATGAAGTAGCAAGTGAATAAAAATATGCATCCACCAAAGTTGATAAGGAAGAAAGCAAAGAACATCTACTGCTAGAGCACCAGTCCAATCAATGCATATGTGCCTCACATTCATATTCTTCAAAGGTTATAGAAAAAAAAACCTAGATAAGCAAGTTGCAAAATCATGGAGGTTTTCAAGATGTTGCATATCAACATCCCATTCGTTGATACATTAAAACAAATGTCAAGTTCTTTCCAATAAAAGAAAGATGGAAGTAGGGGCGGACACAGAAATTTAAAGTTATGGGCACAATCGAATTTGTAAAGAAATTGAGAGAAATTTTACAATCGAAAATTTACGTCCAAATAAATCATGCTCCATGTAATTTTGCATCCGAAAATTTACATGTGATATGACTTTTTCAGATGTAAAATTTCGAAAAAATTTATGTCATATTCCATATAAATTTTCTTAATAAAAGGATGAAAATTACATTGAGAAATTTGTATTGCAAAAATAATAAATATTAATGAAATAATTAATTTTT